GGGGCGGCGCCCCAACTCCCCAATCAGCCCTGCTCTGAGCCCGACCAGGGGCTGCACCTAGGGATTGGGCGTGCCCTCTGCCACCCGGGAGCAGGCCTAAGCCAGCAGGTCCTTATCTCCCGAGGGGTCCCAGACTGCGAGAGGGCACAGGCCGGGCTGGGGGACCCTCCTCCCCCCCTTGAGTGCACAAATTTTTGTGCACCAGGCCTCTAGTATGTATATAAATTCCCAGTTTAATCTCTCTCTACCCACCCCTCCATGACCACCTTCCCTCTGAGATTCGATAGTCTGTTCCATGCTTCTATGTCTCTGGATCATTTTATTCATCAGTTTATTTTGTTTATTAAATTCTACATATGAGTGATATGTGATACTTGTCTTTCTCTGACTGGCTTAGCATAATATTCTTCAGGTATATTCCTGCTGTCTCAAAGGGTGAGAGCTCCTTTTTATAGCTGCATAGTATTCCATGGTATAAATGTACCACAGCTTTCTTATCTATTCATCTACTGATGAGCACTTGGGCTGTTTCCAGATCTTAGCTATTGTAAATTGTGCTGCTATGAACATAGGAGTGCATATATTCTTTCTGATTGGTGTTTCGGTTTTCTTAGGACATATTCCTAGAAGTGGGATCACTGAGTCAAATGGCAGTTCCATTTTTAATTTTTTGAGGAAACTCCAAACTGTTTTCCATAGTGGCTGAACCAGTCTACATTCCCACCAGCAGTGTACTAGGGTTCTTTTTCTCCACATCCTCACCAACACTTGTTATTTGTTGATCTGTTGATGGTAGGTAGCCATTCTGACAGGTGTGAGGTGATACCTCATTGTTCTTTCAACCTGCATCTCTCTGATGATCATTGACTTAAACATTTTTTTCATATGTCTCTTGGACTTCTGTATGTCCACTTTCGAGAAGTGTCTATTAAGTCCTTTGCCCAATTTTTAATTGGAGTGTTTGCTGTTCTTTTGTTAAGTTGTATGAGTTCCTTATATATTTTGGAAATTAACCCCTTATCCAATGTATCATTGGCAAATATGCTCTTTCATACAGTGAGCTCCCTTTTCATTTTGTTGATGATTTTTTTTGCTGTGCAGAAGGTTTTTACTTTGCTGTAGTCCTATTTGTTTATTTTCGCCTTAGTTTTCCTTGCCCTAGGAGTTATATCAGCAAGCATATTGCTAGGAGAGATGTCTCAGACTTTGCTGCCTATGGTTTCTGCTAGGATTTTTATGATTTTATGACTTACATTTAAATCTTTTACCCATATTTTTGTGTATGGTGTAAGTTGGTGGTCCAGTTTAAATTTTTTGCATGTACCTGTCCAATTTTCCCAACATTAATTATTGAAGAGACTGTCTTGACTCCATTATATGCTCTTGCCTCTTTTGTCAAATATTAATTGAGCATAATGGCTTGGGTCAATTTCTGGGTTCTCTGTTCTGTTTCTTTGATCTATATGCCTGTTTTGTGCCAGTACCGGGCTGTTTTGAGTACAGTGGCTTTGTAGTATAATGACATCTGGTATTGTTTTTCCTCCAACTTTGGAGTCTTCTTGCTTGGAACTCTCTGTGCCTCCTGAATTTGTGTGACTCTTTTCCTTCACCTGGTTAGGGAAGTTTTATGCCATTATTTCTTCAAGCAGGTTCTCTATCCCCTGCTCACTTTCTTCTCTTCTGGTATTCCTAGGATGCAAATATTGTTACATTTCATGTTGTCCCACAGCTCCCTTAAGCTGTCCTGCTTTTTTAATTGTTTTTTCTTTTTGGTTTCCTGATTGAATTATTTTTTTCTTCCCTGCCTTCTCATTCACTGATCCAATCCTCGGCTTCCCTTTATCTCATGTTTATTCTTTCCAATGTTTTTGGTTTTTTTTAATCACTGATATGTCATTCTTCTGACTGGGTGTTTTTCATAGTTTCTATAATTTCTATATCTTTTCTCATGCTGCTGAGCATCTTTGTAATCATTTTTCTGAACTCTATTTCATTTAACTCTTTTGGAGAATTCTTTCTCTTTCATTTGGGGCTTGTTTTTTGTTCCCCCATTTTGCATGCCTGTTTGGGTTTGTTTCTATGTATTAGGTAGTTCTACTATGACTCCTAGTCCTTTTTGGAGGGTCTCTGGTGCAGGATAGTGTCAGACACTGTTTGTGGCTGGCCCTGAGTACCCTGTTTGGAGCTATCAGCAATCCACAGCTTTTGACTCCCTCTAATGGGGCTGGATGTTTTGGAAAGGACCAAGATGTACATCAAGGTCTGCTTTTCCTAGCCCAGGGTCCAGAAGCAGATCAGGGAAAGACTCAAAGCATCCAGATATCCTCCTTTGCCTGCACGCTGATTGTTATTCTCAGTCTCTTAATGAGCCTTAAGCTATAGACCAGAGCAAGGCCACAGGATAGGGCAAGAGGTTTTCCAACAGGGTGGGGCAGCTGTTCCTCACCCCCCACCCCCCACCGCAAAAGCCACTGTGGGTTCGACGCCCCCTGGAGATTCCGTCTCAGGGCCTTTGTGAGGGTTCCGCTGCCGGCCTGGCCATTGACGATACCCTGTTCCAGCTGAAGTTCACAGCGAAGCAGCTGGAGAAACTGGCCAAGAAGGCGGAGAAGGACTCGAAGGCGGAGCAGGCCAAGGTGAAGAAGGCCCTGCAGCAGAAGAATGTGGAGTGTGCCCGTGTGTACGCGGAGAATGCCATTCGCAAGAAGAATGAGGGTGTGAACTGGCTGCGCATGGCGTCTCGCGTGGACGCAGTGGCCTCCAAGGTGCAGACAGCTGTGACCATGAAGGGGGTGACCAAGAACGTGGCGCAGGTGACCAAAGCCCTGGACCGAGCGCTGAGCAGCATGGACCTGCAGAAGGTGTCTGCGGTGATGGACAGGTTTGAGCAGCAGGTGCAGAACCTGGACGTGCACACCTCGGTGATGGAGGACTCCATGAGCTCGGCCACCACGCTGACCACGCCACAGGAGCAGGTGGACAGCCTCATCGTGCAGATCGCGGAGGAGAACGGCCTGGAGGTGCTGGACCAGCTCAGCCAGCTGCCCGAAGGCGCGTCTGCCGTGGGCGAGAGCTCCGTGCGCAGCCAGGAGGATCAGCTGTCGCGCAGGTTGGCCGCCCTGAGGAATTAGGAGCCGCGCAGGCAGCTCCAGGCCCGCGTGCCCTGCCTCTCGCCTTCGTGCCGACCTGCAGCGTCAGCCCTCACTGCTCTCCGAACTTGCCTGCTGGGCCTGGAACCCTCCTGTCCTCCTAGGCTGGGCAGCGGGTGCGTTTGCACAAACTTCTGACTTTCGTGGGTGGTTTCTGTGACTTTGGGCCAAGCAGCTGGAAGGTCTGTGGGCTCCCTCTGTGCCCTGGTCTGTGGCGATGCCCTGTGATAGCAGGTGTGCTGCTGACCGACAGCAGTGGGGGTTGGCGTCCCCTTGCCAGGCGGTACCTGGAGCCCTCCCAGCAGCGGGCAGGCCTCCCCCACCCCTAGACAGACATGGGCACAGGTAAGGCCCCAGGATATGTGGGGGACGCCCTTGAGGGCCACCCAGCAAACACGTCCCCCGTGGCCTTTGCAAAACGTCCAGGGGTGGGGTCCTGTCCCCTCCAGCCTGGTCCTGCCCTCTGCTGCTGGCTGAGCCCCTGGGGGAAGCTGGCCCCAAGTCCAGGCGTGTCCACTCTGGGGCACGTCCTCACTCCCCTGCTGCCTGGGTGCGGGGTGACCCCTTTGGAGCCCCGTCTGTGCCTGGCTGAGGAGCCGTCAGCCACACAATCACATCTCCTGGTACTAAACTGCAGTGCCTCCTCCAATGGCCCCTCCTGCCTGTGCTCACACCCTTGACCTTGGAAGCCAGAGTGGCTGATAGCCCAGAGAGCCACCCTTGGGGGGAGGGGGGCCCCCCTCGCTGTGGCTGCGTGTCCAGGACAGAGCAGCAGGTCGTCCCGATGACCTGCTAGGACAGCCAGGAGACGGCTGCACTTCCTGTTCTTCAGGTCCTGAAGTTTACTTTGTTTTCCTGAAGCTGTTTGGTTTGTTTTGGGTTTTTTGTGTTTGGGGTTTCTTCTTTGCCAAAATACAAGGAGCAAGCGGCAGGGGGGAGCGTTGGGTCTGCGTCCTCCTCTGTGGAGCTGGTGGAGCTGCGCGGTGCGTGCGGCCAGGCCGGCTCTGCACAGCTGACCGCCGACCAGCCCTTCCCGGAGGCTCCGGCTGACCAGTCTCCTCACACCTTCACCTTGGCTCCTGCGCTTGCTTCTTCCTGGACGTCGGAGCCGTGGTGTCTGTGCAGTGGGCGGCGTTGGGCAGCCGAAGGGGCGTGGGCTGGGTGAGACCTGGCCTTTCTCCTGCAATACCGACCTCGCCTTCCTCCCTGGACATGCCCTTCGGGGCGCCCACGTGCTGGGGGTTCAGAGGTTTTGGGTTTCTGGGACCCGGGTGGGGGGCGGGGAGGCCGTGGCTCATGGAAGGCGGTGGGCGTATGTGCCCTTTTCCTATAATGCTACTGTAAATAAAAGTTGATTGAGACATTGAAAAAAAAAAGCCACTGTGGATGGTAAAGGTTTACCTGAGAAAGATGTCCTCTACAGTATGGTGGGATAATTCAGCACAGGAGACTGGGGTGGCTGCCTTCTAAGCTCTAACCCCAGAGCCCCCAACCCTGGATTCTCTTCACACAGCTCTAGTCAACTCTGCCCTCCCTCTCCTCTGCTGGAGCCCAAGGTGAGTGTCTGCACACAAAATTTTGTGCTCTAGCCCTTTAAGAGGGTACCTGCATTTCCAGCGATCTCTCCCTGGCAGACAGCAACCCTACTTCTTTTCACAACCATATGTTATGTGGGCACCTTTCTCAGTTCTGGTGCTCTGGGCTGGAGAGCCCAGCTTTGGGTTTAGACCCCAGAGTTCTCACTGGGAACCCCCCACAGCTGAGATATCCCTCTGAAACTTCAGCTGCTGCCTGTGGGAGCCCAACCAGCCCTCTTATGCCTTGGCACTGCTTACCAGTCTCTATGTGGTCTCCACTTTATGTCCTTGCTTATAAGGGTTCTCTCAAACTAGTCTTCAGTTGATTATTCAGAATGGTTTTTCTGTATATTAGTTGTAATTCCAGTTTAGTCCTAGGAGAATGTCAGTGTAGCTTCCACTTTCTCAACCACCATGTTGGAAAGCTGTGTCACAGTGTTTTAATCCACTCATCTACTGATGGGCACTTGGGTTGTTTTCAAATCTAAGCTATTGTAAATTATGCTGCTATGGACTTAGGGTGCATATATTCTTTCTGGTTGGTGTTTCAGGATTCTTTGGATATATTCCATATTTAATTTTTTGAGGAAACTCCATACTGCTCTCCATAATGGCTGCACCAGTCTGCATTCCCACCAGCACTGTACTAGGGTTGCCTTTTCTCCACAACCTCGCCAAAACTTGTCATTTGTTGATTTGTTGATAGTTGCCATTCTGGCAGGTGTGAGGTGATACTGTCATTTTACTTTACATCTTTCTAATGATCATTGACTTTGAGCATTTTTTATATGTCTTTTGGCCATCTGTATGTCCACTACAACTTTTAATACACATTAATTGTAGGGAAGAGATATACAGTAATAGCTCAGCCCTCAGATATCCCATGACAGTAGAAGAAGAAATAGCTATAGAATGGCAGGGCAAGAAGCACTCTTGAAGGTCATTTGCTTCAACTCTTATCAATCACAGATGAGGAAACTAAAGCCCAGAGAGTTTAGATTAGTAGCAGGACAAGGACCAGAACCTAAGTTTTATGGCCCCCTTTCCAGTAAACTTTTCATTATAGCAACATATCATTTATTTAACAGAGATAATGATCTGCTGTGTGCCAGACATTGTGCAATGTCCTAGGAATACAGAGATGAATAAGCCATCTTAAAACACAGTCTAGTGGAGGAGACAGAAATGGACTATTAGTACAGCATGGGAGATGAATGAGAGTGTTGTGCATAGGATATTATGGAGGAAGAGAGGAGAGAGAGATATCAGGGCTTAGTGATGGAATGGATAGAGGTGTCAAGGAAGTAAGTATTTCTAGAGGAGGTGAAACCTGAGGTGTCTTAAAAAAAAGGAAAGTTAGCTAGAAGTTATATCTTTTCTTGATCTCTAATAGCTTGTCTCTTTTTCTCATTTAGCACAGATTGTGTCACAGATTCATGAAGTATGTCTCATCTTCTTTATGAGATTATACATTTTTGAAGGAAGTAGCCTGTCTTTACCCTGTTGTATTACTCAGAGTGCTTATGCTTAGCTCCTTCCTGTGTGCATACATGGTAGGTAATAAACAAATTCTTGTTAGGTGAATATATAAATAAGTGAATAAATACTTATATTACTGAGTGCTTATATGTTTTAACTCATTGAGGCCACACATAAATTATACAAAGGAGGAACTATCATTACCTCATTTAACATATGAGAAAACTAAGGCAGAGGGAGATTACTCATATAGTAAAAAGAATGAAGAATCAGTTCTGGACTCCAATAAGAAAGAGATTAACAACTATTTGGGGTAAATGACTTAGGCTGGTTAAGCCCCTATTTCTCACTAATCTACACTAATAAAAGAGAAACATGGTAATTAGCATACGACCGCTACCCTTCCCATTAGCTAATCAGCATATCCTTATGCAAATTAACTGCCAGCCAAGATGGCGGCCGGCAGCCA